ACTCTTTACAGAAGTATTTTCTAGATATTATGTAGTCTATGAAAAAAAATCTGCAAGAGTTTTTTTTTTTTTTTCATTCTACAAATGACAAAAATATGTTTGTGGTTGCTTATATTGAATACAGAGTCTATTCTTGCGATTGTCTTCTCCAACAGAATCATGGCTGCAGACTCCAATCCTTCCACTTTATCGGGGTCAGTCTCGGGGCACATGTCGCTGGTTTTGTGGGAACTTTGTTCGAAGGGAAAATAGGAAGAATCACAGGTGAGATCAGACACCTTACATACATATTATCTCTTGCAATGTAAAACTGAATTGGAAACACAGCTGCACACTTAAAAAGTCATTGCACATGTGCTCCACCTCAGAATAATACTCCTTGTGGTGGAAATAAAGTTTAGGTTGCTGGTAGCTGGTATTGGGTTTACAGAAATAAGGAGACAACAGGATTGAAGACAGTGAAGGTTTTCACAGCACAGGCTCTCACAGATCTCAGTGAGACCCTGAAAAATTAGCAGGGCTCTTCAAAGAACAACAGTACATTGAAAAGAGACACTCTGAAGTGTTTTGACAAGGCTCAGTCCCTTTCAGCAGAGCACCACCAGCACAATACACCACTGTTCAGTTGATAATATCAGGTCTTTTTGTCTGATGACACAGACTTGTGTGGGGTTAAATCAGAGGCTTCACTGATCCCAACAAGAATAAAATTTGAAAATCACACCAAGCTGATGAATAAAGGAATTCAAAAGCTTTCGCTAAATGTCCCCTTAGCTTATTGTTGATTGAATGGGTGGTCCACAGGATGGGTGGGTTGGTTAGTTGGTTGGTTGGCAGGCACAATGGTTGTTTGACTTGCTTGTTGGTTTGATGGTCAGTTAATCAGGACGGTTGTTTGGATTTTGTTATTGTTTTTTGTGACTGGTAGAGTTCATCAACTTTAAAGCTAAACTCACTGTTTACTGAACATTTAATTGAATATTTACTTTCTCTCGCTTCCTCTCTCCTACTGTTCCCATTTTTTTTTTACTCTTCAGTCCTGCCAAACCTCTGCCTTACAAACGGTCACTGAATATGTAGAGAATAAACTACAACCATAAAATCCAAACTAAAAACCTCATATAAAAAGACTAGTCATGTTCCCAGGACATGGGGACACTGTTTGACATTTTAAACACAAAGCAGGACAATGCACTAATGTGTACTACACTGACCATAGTTGAAGTTCTTTCATTATGAGACTACTGGAGAAAAATGACTCTTTTTGTTGTTTCTAGTAATATAAAATTTCATGGCATGTGCTTAATCTAAAAGATATTAAACTTTCAAACAGGCCTGGACCCTGCTGGACCCATGTTTAAAGGAGCGGACACCTATAGCCGGTTGGACCCTTCTGACGCTCAGTTTGTGGATGCCATCCACACAGACTCTGACTGTGAGAAAACGTTAACTTAACCTGCAAGTTTATTTCCATCACTAACATGGCTTAGACCACTTACTGTTGTTGTAACTACATGAAACCCCTTAGAAAGCATCATTGACAGATCAGCCAGGCTGATGACTTCTGTTTTTTTTCTCATTACTGGAAGTTATGAACAAAGAGCAACTGTGGAACTGTAACATTACGCTTTACTAAGGCACACAAAGATATGAATGTGCTTTTGTTTGAGTTTGAGGTGTGATAAAACACATTGGTTGTGCATATTATTCAAAATGCCTGACGTCATCAAAGCTTTGAAAGACTCTAATGTTCTCAAGAACAATCAAACCTTCTCTTTCAAATAACACTAGCGTCCCAGTGCCACTGGCAGTCATCACACTGCC